TAAATTCACTTGGCTAAGGTGACACATCTAGGAAGTGATGGAATGAGGGTTTTAACCTCTGCTGTCCCACTCAAAAACACAGGTACCTAGAAGCCCCACAGTGGCTAATCGAGGACTGTGGCAGAGAGGAGAGAACAGTGAGATCTTTGGGCACCATGGGAGGCCTCTACTCGGCTCCACCCTACAGAGCCCTACTTGTAGCCCCTCCCAGACAGGCTTTGTCCCTTGGTGTTTTGTGCCCCAGGCAGTGGCAGCCGCGGCGGCGGCTGTTGTGTAACAGTGTTGGGATGCGGTGGTGGGTCAGAGCTGACCTGGTCCCTAGGACGGTGATGGCTGCCCCTGTGTGTTTTTCTCTGGACACAGCATTTGACAAAAAGTAGAACCTTGGTCCCAGCGTGGGCTGGAGAGGAAGGTTCCAGGTGGGCCCTCACCGGCTGTTCTCACCCTTCCCGGATGTTGACACAGATGTGTCTCCCTCAGCTTTTCCCAGACTCTGCCCCCTCATCCCACATCCCTCAGGGCTCTTCTCAGGCCTGAGGGCACTGGGTCCCTGGGCCTGTCCCTGCTGAGCCCTGGCTTCTCAAGATCCTGGGTGCGTATGTCACTTGGTGGAGGTGAGGCACCCTTGTCCAGGAAGGCAGCCAGGGCCTAGAGAAGGGCTGATAAGACTGCAGGCTGAGACTAATGACTCCTGGTGCCCAGCTGCTGGGGACAAAGTTCAGCGATGAGTGGGGGCAGGGGTGAGCTAGGGCTGCCTCACTGCTCACATGCATGCTCTCCCCGTGGTTACACGGCCACCCTGACTCTCCCTGCATACCTGCAGGCCTCCGGGTGAGCAGCAAGGCCTGCGAAGCCTGTGCTCCACCAATCTTTGAACCCTAGGCCCTCTTGTTCTGTTTCCTACCTGTCAGGCAAGGATCGTCGCCCAGAAACGGTGTGTGTGCTGGAGGGTGGGGGTGGCATACCAAACATTTCCCAGCCGCAGGGATTTCTGGAAAGGCTTTCTTATTTCTCAGATCCTGGCTCTTCCACACTACTTCCATGACCCAAGCAATTACTTTATTCTTTTCGAGCCCGTTTGATCATCTGTAATGTGGGGAGGGTGTAATGATAGATAGTACCCATTTCAGAAGGTATGGAGGATTAAATGAGATCACATATGTTATGATGTAGGTGCTCAGTAAAGTCTTAGTGAGTGAGTGCTGATGTGGTGATAATGATGGGTGAAGGTGATGGTGAAGGTGATAGGTAGGATTTGCAGGACCTCAGGCTCTTGCTTAACTCTGTGGACCCAGCTAGTTGGACCATTGCATCACAATTGCTTGGAGGTTTCTCCAGATGCCACCCCCTGAATCAAAATTCCTAAGGGTTGCCGGACACGGTTGCTCAAGCCTGCAATCCCAGCACTTTGGGAGGCCGAGGCGAGAGGACTGCCGGAGCTCAGGGGTTCAAGACCAGCCTGAGCAACATGTTGAGACGTCGTCTCTACCATAAATCAAAAAAATTAGCTGGGCCTGGTGACACATGCCTGTGGCTCCAGCTACTTGGGAAGGCCAAGGTGGAAAGATCACCTGAGCCCAGTAGGTTGAGGCTGCAGTGGCTGTGAACACACCATTGCACTCCAGCCTGGGCGACAGAGTGAGACTCCAACTCAAAAAAAAAATTTTCCTAAAGGTGAGGCCAGATAGTCCTTATTTTGAAGGATAAACAGATACTCACTCTGACCCCTCTCCGAGCAGCCCTCCTCCCCAACCCCATTTTCCCCAGACTCCTCTGACTTTCCAGAACCTCCACCCCACCCTACCACCATGCCACAGCTTCCTTGAGTTGGACATCGCCATGTGGTTCTTCTCTTTCCGATTCGGAAGTTAGGAACCACGATTCTTTCCTGACTCTTCTTTTGCTGGCTGAAGGTGAGGGACCTCCTAAGGGTGAGAGAGAAAAAGGGTAAGAGAGCGGTATAGAGGCAGTCTCAGAAGTCCACTGTGCTTGTGCTGCCTAGGAGATCCATGGGCTTGAGCCTCATGTTGTAAACCCCAAGAGAGGGAATGATTCTGTAGCTCTTGGAGTGGCCTTGTCTCTGCCAGACCACGGACCTCTGAATTTGCAGCCAAAGTTGGTGAACCATCCTTTTTCTTGGAAAAATCTGCACTGATTTCATACAACTCTTAAAGTGCGTGACCCCCAAAAGGCAGAATGTCCTGGAGAGAATAGGGGCAAACAATTATGGCCTTATTTCTCCTCTTAGTCAGCTTGAGGGTAATTCCCATGGGCTTCCTATGTTACCCCCCCATCTCTTCTTCAGAGATTCGGGGTGCACAGTGCCCCCATGTTGTATGTGGGGGGGAGGGTGACTTCAGGATACAGTGCCCAGAAGGGAATGAGTTTCCCTGGAGAAGTCCTTTGGGGATGTGTTTGGTTTGGGGTTGAAATGGCAAGGTGAGCCCTGTGCCGGGTTTACGCAGGCAGAGGGGAGATGCCTGGAGGGTGCATCCGAATGTGTATCAGATAAATTCCTACTTCCTTTAAGGAGATTAAGATTGCAGCTGGGAACAGAGCGCACACTGATCTGATAACGGCTCACACCGGGCTGAGTGACCAGGAGGGGCCTGTGCTGGGGAGGACTGTGTGGAGCCAGTAGAGTGTCTGCCTGTGTGAGGATTCTGCACATTCAGTGAGCCTTGGCTGAGAACCTGCTGTATGCCCTACGCCAAGGAGGCTTAAATCTTACCCCAGCCAGTCGTTAGTGGAGTAGAGGAATCGGCAGGTAAGCAAGTACACAAGCAGTAGCCACGGCAAATGCTGGGATGCGCTGTGACACCCAGGGAGCTGGAATAGTCACCAGCATTTGAGAGCTGCTCATTGAGTGCCTACAGCGTGCCAGTCCAGGACCAGGCATTGAGGAAGTAGGGGTAAACAAAATAGGGGCTCCCTTACCCTCTGCTGCAGTCTTGTGGGAAAGACAGACAGTTAACACGTTTTTCCAAACAAGTGCATGACTACGATTGTGCTGTGGGCCTTGAGGGAGCGTTTGTTGAGTACTCACATTGTGATAGGCATTGAGCCGTGTTGTTTCAAACCCCTTAGGTAACAGGTAGCATTGTGCCCACTTTACAGATGCGGAAACTGAGGCTCTCAGTTGGTTGCCCCAGCCAGAAAGTGGGCAGCTGGGGCTTGCCTCAGACTGTCTGATGCCACAGCTCTTGCTCTTCTGCAACCTGCCGCCTTGCGCTTGCCAGCTGGGTCCAGAGAAGCAACCAGACAAAACTGACAGATAGTCATTGAGTTAGAATCATTGTCATGGCAGATGGGCTAGTCTTGTTTACCGCTGTGTCCCAGTGCCCAGGACAGAGCCTGGCACGTTATAAGTGCCTGATAAACAGGTGTGGAATGCGTGAGTGAGCACCTACAGCGTGCCCATCTTTACAAAGGTGCGTTGGTGGGGGAATGAGTGTGTGGAGTCCTGTCCCCTCAGGATGCGTGACGGCTGCCTAGAGACAGAGAGCACAGGAATAGGTGCACAGTACTGGGGTTGAACAACACGGGCGTGTGGTGTCCCAGGCAGCCTGGTGATTCATTGTCGCGGGATTGGAACAGACGATAAGTGGCTGTGAGTTGGAGGAAAGAGAGGTCATCGTGGGCTGGAGCGGCCTGGGGAGGCTTCCTGGGGGACAGAACCTGCCTCCAGTGGGATGGATGTGGTTGGTGGCGGGGCCTGGGTGGGTATTCCAGGTGCTCTAAATGGGGATGTGGGGAAAGGAGGCTGAACCAGAACCCTCTGCAGAACATGCTGGGCCAAAGACTGGATTTGAGCAGAAGAGAGGCTGGCCATGGTTTTGTTGGAGGAGGGGCAGTCAGGACTGGGACAGGAACTGGCAATACCTGACCGGGATCTGCAAATGCACAGCCTCCGAGCCCCAGAAGATGGGCAGCAGTGGGTTGTTGTGGGAATCGGGGTGCAGCTTGTGGTTGGCTAGGGCATGCAGAGCTCCAGCTGGAAGGGTTTGGGGGCAGACAGGTGTGAGATGGGAATGGACCGGTCGGAGAGGGGGAGGCGCCGGGTGTGAAGTAGTGGCTGGATGTGTGTGTATAGGGATAGAGGTCCGATGGGAGCCAGATGTTCATCCAGAGACCAGAGGATGTGTGAGGGGTGAGGGTGGGGGCGTGGCCAGGCAGGGCTGGTGGTGTCATCGGCAGCTCTGTCCCAGTTAGACCTGCTGGGCTCCCAGTTGCTAAGGGCAGGCCAGGGCAGCTCCCTATGCCAATTCCAGGGCCAGTCAGCCCTGACCATGCTCCTGACCCTGATCTTCACCTTTACTCCCTTCTTCCATACACCCGCCCATGGTGGCAGGGGTGCAAGGAGCCCTGGGAGCTGTTCATGTGTGTGCGTCTGCTGCGGGACATGTGTGTTCCAGGGAAGGTGGGAAGGCTGACACCTGCTCCTCAGCCCTAACCGTTTCCACAAGCCTTGCCCAATTCAAGCGGGCCCTTTCTGGAGAGCAGCGGGCGCTGTGGGCCAGGGACTTGAGAGGTCATGCGTGCCTCATCCATAGACACTGACTTGGCATCTCAGAATGGAGAGAAATGAGGTGTCTTCGCCCTCTCCCTTCAGGCGACCTGAGCAGAGCCCAATGCCAGCAGTCATGACCCGGGCTCTGGGGCACAGAAGGGGGGGGTGCCTGTGTCTCTCCTTCCATGTCTTGAGAAGGGGTGCTCCAGCTGGGGGTGCTCAAAGCCTCACCTTTCCACTTGCTGTCTCTCCCTAACTCAGTATCAGGGTAATTAATTACCATGGGTGACTAAGGCAGGATGCTGGTGAGAAGGAGGTGTTGGGCAAAGCATGGAGCAGAGGGCAGGGAGGGAGAGAAGGAAGGAGGGCGGGAGCGTCAGCTGGTGAGGGCGTTCCATGGGCGGGAGCTGCTTTGGACCTGCCAGGCCTCTTACCAGCTCCTCCAGCTGGGGCAGACACCGCTGCTACGCCCAACCGTGGGTGAGACCTGGGTTCTGGAATCAGGGTTCTGGGCTGGGACTGACTGCTGGCGGGGGAACAGCGTCTAAGTGGGAGAGGGCGAGCGGGGCCAGCTTCCTCTTTCCAGCTGACAGCCTCTGTTGTGCCTCTTCCTTGCAGACCTCCTGATTTTGGGGCTTGCCAGGATGGGGCCCCTGAGGCTCAGCCCAGGACCCCGGGGGCAGCGGTTGCTGCTGCCCCCTTCGCTGCTGGCGCTGCTGCTCCTGCTGGCTCCATCCCCGGGCCAGGCCACACGGGTCGTGTACAAGGTGCCGGAGGAGCAGCCACCCAACACCCTCATCGGGAGCCTTGCCGCCGACTACGGCTTCCCTGACGTGGGCCATCTGTACAAGCTAGAGGTAGGCGCTCCCTACCTTCGCGTGGATGGCAAGACGGGTGACATTTTCACCACCGAGACCTCCATTGACCGCGAGGGGCTGCATGAGTGCCAGAACCAGCTCCCTGGTGAGCCCTGCATCCTGGAGTTTGAGGTGTCTATCACAGACCTCGTGCAGAACGGCAGTCCCCGGCTGCTGGAGGGCCAGATCGAGGTGCAGGACATCAACGACAACACACCAAACTTCGCCTCACCCGTCATCACTCTGGCCATCCCCGAGAACACCAACATCGGCTCTCTCTTCCCCATCCCGCTGGCTTCGGACCGTGATGCAGGCCCCAACGGAGTGGCGTCCTACGAGCTGCAGGCTGGGCCCGAGGCCCAGGAGCTCTTTGGACTGCAGGTGGCGGAGGACCAGGAGGAGAAGCAGCCCCAGCTGATTGTGATGGGCAACCTGGACCGTGAGCGCTGGGACTCCTACGACCTCACCATCAAGGTGCAGGATGGCGGCAGCCCCCCACGAGCCAGCAGCGCCCTGCTGCGTGTCACCGTGCTCGACACCAATGACAACGCCCCCAAGTTCGAGCGGCCCTCCTATGAGGCTGAACTGTCTGAGAATAGCCCCATAGGCCACTCTGTCATCCAGGTAAGATGCCCCTTCCATCTAACTGTCAGGGTGACCCACCTTTGGTAATGGGAGCCCCCTCCAGGTGAGAGTTTCCTTTGTTTGGGGGGAAAACTGCCAGAAAACTAAGGGGGGACTCCTCCTCCCCAGCCCCAGCCGGGTGAGACCTTCCCACAAGATCCCCTGCTCCACCCTAGCAGGTGATAGTTTTTCTCTATCAAGCTACTTAGGTGACAGTGACATAGCTTGGGAGCAGCAATCTCCCCACCCCCAAGGTAGACTCAAGCTGGGAGACCTCTGAGAAGTGAAACTCCCTCCCTAGTCAAATGAGCGCCTTCTTCCCCGGCCAGGTGAGCTGAGTTGGAACAAAGACATCTCCCTTTATCCTGGTAGAATCTCTTCTGAGATGAGATCTTCCCAGCCCGGCCTGTTTCCCATTAGCCAGATGAGATTTTCCTGAAGCTGGAAGACATAGCCTCACTTTGCCCCTCCCTGACAAAGTCAAATGAGATCGTTTTAGCCAGGTGGGTCCTCAGAGTTCTGGTGTGTATACACCTGTGTCCCCTAGGTAGGGGCACCCATGGGTGCAGGGTGCTTAGCATGGAAGGGGGTCAGTTTCCTCTGCTGAAGTTGTCAGCACCCTTCTCCATGGGAACTGCCCCAGGGGCTAGGCAGCTTGGTGGGACCAGGGCTGGGGAGGGAGCGAAGAAAGCGTCCCAGCAGACAGGTGGGTGTATCTCCCACTGTCATCTCAGCCCTGGCCTCCTGCCAGCACTGCTCCTTTCACCTTCCCCATGGGCTGAAGCTGCCTCTGTCTTTGATAGGAGGGAGTTGAGGAGGGCTCAGCTTGCGCCAGACACCATTGCCCGTCCCGGGAAACCCCTCATCTTAGGTCCTCCAGCAGAAGTGGGGGGGGGTCGGTGGGAGTGTCAGCCTCTTTCTTTAGAGGCTGGTGGGCTGGAACCTGGAAAGGAGATGAGAAAGAAAAGGGAGACAGTCAGTCTGAGAAGGTGAATAATAACAGCCTAGGTGCCAGGCACTGCTCTAAAGGCATCATATATGTTATATCACTTCATCTTCACAGTACAAGGTAAGCATTAGCCCCATTTTACAGATGGGAAAGTGAGCCCATAGAGATTAGGAAATTTGCCTGATATCACAGAGCCAGTGGGGTCAGAGCCCACCTCTGCCCCATCCGGCAGTGTGTGTAGCAACTTACCCCTCCCAGAGAGGCAACACCGGAGAGCCAGGCAGAGAGCAGGCTGGGAGATGGACAGTGCTGAAAAGGGAAGATGGAAAGAACGGGCCTTGGGAAGGAGGTGGAATCAGAACTAAGCAAGGGCGGGAGGGAGACAGACAGAAGCCAAGAATCATGCACAGAGACAAGGGGTTAAGATCAGGGGCAGATAAGAAGCTGTGTGACCAGTCTAGAGATGGGGACAGAGCGGGGTCTCATCCTAAAGGTGGTGTCAGACAGGCTGGGGTGGAAGGAGGAGAAACTTAGAGTTTAGCCCTCACGGGTGTGAGCAGAGAAACAGGTAGCTGGGGAGCTACTCAGGAGTTTCCACTGTAGAAATAGCTCGGCAGGTGTGGTTGGAGCTCCCCTTCCCAAAGGGAAGGAGAGAAGATTGCCAGTGGCATGCAGCATGGGCCAGCGTGGTGTTAGCACTGCTCTTTCAGAGACAGACAGGTAGGAGGATAGATGGGGGAGGTGGGTGGATGGACAAAAAGAGAAATGCTATTTAGGGAGCATTTGCACATGCCAGGCAGTGTTAGACATTTTCACACGTGTTCCATTTTGTGCTCACCACAATCATGTGAAATAGGTTCCATTATTATCCCCACTTTACATACTTATAGACTGAGGCTTGGGGAGGTTAAATCATTGGCTCAAGGTCACAAGCAGTAGAACTGGGATTTGAATCCAGGACTCCTCTGTTTTGTTCCTCAAGACCCTGTCACATTAATCACTGTCTCCCCATGGCCGCCACATTCTGTCTGGCTGTGACCTATAGGACTCCAGCCCTCACATTTCTCCCTGCCCAGGGCTGCCTCGTGGGCATTCCACCTGGCTCCTGTTGTCCCATCACCACCCGTATTTGTGTAGAGTTGGGCTGAGTGCGCATCGGAGTTGGCGTGGGAGGGCGTGCCCACTGCAAGGGGACAGACAGTTCATTGTTTGGTGCTGGGAGCCCAGCCCTCTACCAGCAGGCTCTGTGGCCTGCACCAACCCTTCCCTCCTGGCCGCGGGCTCAGGCCGGATTCCTCACATTGGTGCCTCCCCAGCGCCAGCCAGCCAGGAGGAGAGGGAGCGGCTGGAACAGGTTTCCCCAGTTTGACAGAGCAGTGGCTGGGCCGGCCTGCAGGGCTCCCTCTGACCCACATCTCTCTGGCAGCTTTCAAAAGAGGCCCTTATGGCCGGGCACGGTGGCTCACACCTATAATCCCAGCACTTTGGGAGGCCAAATTGAGGGAATTGCCTGAGCCCACAGGTTTGAGACCACCCTGGGCAACTTGCCGAGACCTCATCTCTACAAGAAAACAAAAAATTACCCGGGCATTGTGGCACGTGCCTATAGTTCCAGTTACTTGAAAGTCTGAGGTGGAAGGATCTCCTGAGCCCAGCAGGTTGAGGCTGCGGTGGCCATGAGCATGGGTACCCCAGCCTAGGCAACAGTGAGACTCAAACTGAGGAAAAAAAAAAAAGAGGCCCTCACCTGTGGCCTCCTGGTGGGCATGTGAGTCTTTCCTCATGCGTGCAGACATGCACATGGATAAATATACAATCACACAGAGTCACAGTCTGACATCATACACGCATGTGCCTACATGCATATTTCACACCTTCATACATGATACACACCATCTCCAATACTCACAACTCCCCATCTCTTCAGAAGAGCTGGAGGCAAGTTGGACTGGGAGGAAGGTCTTCCCTAGTTCTGTTGGGTCCTCATCCTCTCCCCGAATCTGTGAGGACTCGTGCAGCAGTGACAAGTAGACTTTAATTCTGCCCTGTCCATCTCTAGTAGTCACCTGTAGCATTGCTGAGGATTTGTGGGCTGCACCCGGGCTCTTCAGGAAACTAGGTGAGTAACTTCTGCCAGAGTGTCAGAATTGGGAAAAGGCAGAACATGTGCGGCTTCTGGAAAGGGCATGATGTCGGCCAAGTTGTGCCTGCCATGCTTGTGGGGAACGACATTGGCAGCACATGCACCCCTTAATTTGCTATCCCTGGTGCGACCCCTCTCTGTTCTTGTTTTTCTCTCCTGCCCCATAGGTGAAGGCCAATGACTCGGACCAAGGCGCCAATGCAGAGATCGACTACACATTCCACCAGGCGCCCGAGATCGTAAAGCATCTTCTGCGACTGGACAAGAACACTGGACTTATCACCGTTCAGGGCCCTGTGGATCGTGAGAACTTAAGCACCCTGCGCTTCTCAGTGCTCGCCAAGGACCGGGGTGCCAATCCCAAGAGTGCCCGTGCCCAGGTGGTTGTGACTGTGAAGGATATGAATGACAACGCCCCCACCATCGAGATCCGGGGCATAGGACTAGTGACCCATCAAGACGGGATGGCCAACATCTCGGAGGATGTGACAGAGGAGACAGCTGTGGCCCTGGTGCAGGTATCCGACCGAGACGAGGGAGAGAATGCAGCTGTTACCTGTGTGGTTGCGGGAGATGTGCCCTTTCAGCTACGCCAAGCCAGCGAGACGGGCAGCGACAGCAAGAAGAAGTACTTTCTGCAGACCACCACCCCACTTGACTATGAGAAGGTCAAAGACTATACCATCGAGATTGTGGCTGTGGACTCTGGCAACCCCCCGCTCTCCAGCACCAACTCCCTCAAGGTGCAGGTGGTGGACGTCAACGACAACGCCCCTGTGTTCACCCAGAGCGTCACTGAGGTCGCCTTCCCAGAAAACAACAACCCTGGGGAAGTGGTCGCTGAGGTCACTGCCAGTGATGCCGACTCTGGCTCCAATGCCGAGCTGGTGTACTCTTTGGAGCCTGAGCCAGCAGCCAAGGGCCTCTTCACCATCTCACCTGAGACTGGAGAGATCCGGGTAAAGACATCCCTGGATCGGGAGCAGCGGGACAGCTACGAGTTGAAGGTGGTGGCAGCTGACCGGGGCAGCCCTAGCCTCCAGGGCACAGCCACTGTCCTCGTCAATGTGCTAGACTGCAATGACAATGACCCCAAATTTATGCTGAGTGGCTACAACTTCTCTGTGATGGAGAACATGCCCGCGCTGAGTCCAGTGGGCATGGTGACTGTCATTGATGGGGACAAGGGGGAGAATGCCCGGGTGCAACTCTCTGTGGAACAGGACAATGGTGACTTTGTTATCCAGAATGGCACAGGCACCATCCTCTCCAGCCTGAGTTTTGATCGAGAGCAACAGAGTACCTACACCTTCCAGCTGAAGGCGGTGGACGGTGGCATCCCACCTCGCTCAGCTTACGTTGGTGTCACCATCAATGTGCTGGATGAGAATGACAATGCGCCCTTTATCACCACACCCTCCAATACCTCCCACCGGCTGCTGACCCCTCAAACGCGCCTTGGCGAAACGGTCAGCCAGGTGACGGCTGAGGACATTGACTCTGGTGTCAATGCTGAGCTGACCTACAGCATCGCTGGCGGCAACCCTTACGGACTTTTCCAGATTGGGTCGCACTCAGGTGCCATCACCCTGGAGAAGGAGATTGAGCGGCGCCACCACGGGCTCCACCGCCTGGTGGTGAAGGTCAGTGACCGTGGCAAGCCTCCACGCTATGGCACGGCCTTGGTCCACCTCTATGTCAATGAGACTCTGACCAACCGCACGCTGCTGGAGACCCTCCTGGGCCACAGCCTGGACACACCACTGGATATTGACATTGCCGGGGATCCAGAATATGAACGCTCCAAGCAGCGTGGCAACATCCTCTTTGGCGTGGTGGCCGGCGTGGTGGCCGTGGCCTTGCTCATCGCCCTGGCGGTCCTCGTGCGTTACTGCCGGCAGCGGGAGGCCAAGAGCGGCTACCAGGCTGGGAAGAAGGAGACCAAAGACCTGTATGCCCCCAAGCCCAGCGGCAAAGCCTCCAAGGGAAACAAGAGCAAGGGCAAGAAGAGCAAGTCCCCGAAGCCCGTGAAGCCCGTGGAGGACGAGGACGAGGCTGGTCTGCAGAAGTCCCTCAAGTTCAACCTGATGAGTGATGCCCCTGGCGACAGTCCCCGCATTCCCCTGCCCCTCACTCCCCCCCGGGCAGCCCAGCCCTGGGCCGCCACTACCGCTCCAACTCCCCGCTGCCTTCCATCCAGCTGCAGCCCCAGTCACCCTCGGCCTCCAAGAAGCACCAGGTGGTGCAGGACCTGCCACCTGCAAACACATTCGTGGGCACCGGGGACACCACATCCACGGGCTCTGAGCAGTACTCCGACTACAGCTACCGTACCAACCCCCCCAAATACCCCAGCAAGCAGGTAGGCCAGCCCTTTCGGCTCAGCACACCCCAGCCCCCTCCCCACCCCTACCACGGGGCCATCTGGACTGAGGTGTGGGAGTGATGGAGCAGGTACCTTGTGCCTGCCAGGCTCGCCAGCCCATGTGGGAGGTGGGGCTGCGGGCATGGGGGTGCCGGGGCCTTGGTAACAACCCTGCTGCCTCACCCAGGCATCGGGATTAGGCTGAGTGAAAAGGGGGTGTGTGCTCTGTGATCCTGCCTGCCCTCTGTGCACTTGGGGGAGGACTGTGACTTGTCGAATCCCTGGACCCTGGACCAGACCAGCTGCCGGGTCTTGCAGGTGGGGGCTGACAGGCAGGTGAGCAAAAGTGGGGAGGGAGGTGGGAAGAAATCTATTCCAAACATAGGTCTCTATCTGAGACCAGCCACAGGTGCTTCTCTAGTCCGGGAACAGGGAGCCCCGGGGTCCTGGTGGGGAAGTGGGTGGGGAATCTGCCGGGCGGGGGGCCTCCCCGTTTGTGCCTTCTGTATGTACTGTGTATTAACCTCTTCTCACCACCAGGCTCCTGGGGCCGGGTTCCACTTGTCCTTCCCCAGCCCCAAACACTTATCCCTGACAATAAAGTTCTCTATTTTTGGAGTTTTTGTTTCTTATTTTCCTGGAACTGAGAGAAGAAGCGAGAGAGACTGGAAGCAGCCCTTTGTCCTCAGGTCCTGCCTCAATTTTCCCTTCCATTCTCTTTGCCTCTAGCCACATCATAGACCTGCCTGCTGTACCCCAGTGCTATCTTAGCTGCCATCTCCCCATCCACCTCCACATCCCTATCCATGTCTGGGAAAGTGCCCTTCTGACCAGCCTTCTCATGGGGGTGTCTGCCACTGTGACTTCTCATCCCGTGTCTGTGAGGCTTTCTCCCCGGGAATGACACCCTTCACCAATAAAGGGTGGATGGAACTGCACCCAAGTCCTGCCCCTTCTCCACTGTTGGAGACTTGGTTTTTCCAATCTGCCCAATGTGGTGTGCTTCTGACATACCTCAGACTAAGCACCTAGTAGGGGCTAGCATTCAGCAAGGCAGGAGGTGAAGGCAAATAACCCCTTGATTATACTAGCCACCTTCCCCCGGGGAAGATCACCCCCAGGTCCCTTTCCCAGCCACTTCGTCCCAACACCACTTAAACACCCAGCAATTAGCCAGCCCTGCCCTGTGTCTCCCCACCAAGATCACCAGCCTGGGCTGCGGGGGGGGTGGGGGGCAGGGGAGAGATGAGAGAACTCCCAATCCCTTGCATCAACCTGCCCTCACCCCCCAACTCTCACAGGGCTCCCTACTCATGGGCACAGGCTTCCTAGGTCTCCCTCCCCTCCAGCTCATTGCTCAGGCCACCCTGGGCTGCTTGCTCTCACTCTCTCTCTCTCCTTCTCTCACTTCTTGCTCTCCTGGGTCTGCCTTGTCTCTGTTTGTGCCTGAGGGACAGGAAGGCTAAAGTGTGGGTGAGGGGCCCCAGGTCCGGAGGGAGTCTCTGAGGCCAGAGGCAACCTATCTCCATGGTGACTGAAGAGGCTTGAGACACTCCCAGGAGGTCCAAGGCGCCAACTCTCTCCTCTGATTCCATCCACAGATTCCCCAGTGCGCTGGGGGTGCCCCCAAAGTAAAAGTTCTTGGGGTCTTGGGAGACATGGGTCCTGGGGAAGTGAGGAGGAGTCATGTTTCATGTCTCCTGGACGAATCCAGCATCTGTGAGGGCCCCAGCATCTCCTGACTCCCGTTTTCTCTTCTGTCTCTCTTCTCTTGCCACCGCTGCTCTCTCCTACTCCTTTAGTGCCTTCATCTGTTTTGCTTTCCCCGAGTCTGAGGGACTGCTTGTCCCTCTGCTCAAATGCAACCCAACCCATCCACGGAGCCACATCGAACATCTTCTCCCAACACCAGGACACAACGAAACCACACCCCCTGTTGTCATCCCCAGCACACATGGACCACGTTTCCACTGTGTACACAGCATGGTACAGGACCCTGGTTTAAAAAAAAAAAAAAGTCATCCTTGGACAAGACAGACACAGGAAACACTGAGGCAGTTGAGAGTCTTACATGACGTTTGAGAAGTGAAGATTTTCCCAACTTGTTCTCTGAAAATCCTCTGCCACCACAAGTCACTAATACTTTTTGGGTCCTTACTAGGTGCAAGGTACTATGCTGAGCACGGTGTGTGAATTAGTTCATTCAATGCTCGTAACTCTGATAAAGGTAGTTTTAATGCTCATTTTACAGAATTGAAAACTGTTTTATGATGGGGCCAGATTCAAACACAAAGCATTAGGAGATCTGATTTCCAGCGTCTGCTGTTATCCCCTGTGCTATAGAAAAGGAGTCCATGGTGAAGTCAATTTTGGTAGGAAGAGATTCACTATCACACTAGGCTATGAAAGGCTCTACAGAGCCCTGCAAGAAAGGAGGAAACTGCTTGTGTTTAACTCTTGAGTTTTCTGAATTATTTGACCCTAGAGTCCCTTCCCTTTCTTTATGGATGACAGTATGGGGAAATTTGCGTGCAACCATGGGAATGGGCTTCTGGGAGAATGTGGAGATTGAGCCAGCTTGTCAAGAGGGTCCCCTGCCTCCTCCCAGGGTCCCCTGCCTCCTCCCAGGGTCACCGTGTGAGGGAACTCCTATGGCAGGAGCAAGCATGACCAAGTTGGAGGCAGGGAGAGGGAAGAGAAGGGACTATTTCAGATGGAGTTTTTTTTTTGCTTGTTAGTTTTTTTGAGCCAGAATCTCACTCTGTCGCCCAGGCTGGAGCGCAGTGGCACATTCAGGGCCACCACAGCCTCCACCTGCTGGCCTCAGACGATCCTTCCTAAATGTGCCTTCCAAGTAGCTAGAACTACAGGCATGCACCACCACGCCCAGCTAATTTATTTATTGTAGAGACAAGTTCTCGCCAAGTTGCCCAGGCTGGTCTCGAACCCACAGACTCAGGCAATCCTCTCACCTCCGCCTCCACCTTCCAAGTGCTGGGATTACAGGGGTGAGCCACTGCCCGTGGCTGCTCCTGGGTTTTTTTTAGATGAACTGAGTTTTTGAAAATTCACTGGAATACATGGTTGGCTTTAAGACTCAGGCAATCATCCTCTCACCTCCGCCTCCACCTTCCAAGTGCTGGGATTACAGGGGTGAGCCACTGCCCGTGGCTGCTCCTGGGTTTTTTTTAGATGAACTGAGTTTTTGAAAATTCACTGGAATACATGGTTGGCTTTAAAGTGGGTAGAGGTGAAGGTACAGGATTGAACCTCTAAGGTGGTGGCAGTGGGAGTGATGGGTGGATGGATTTGGCTACGTTTCAGGAGAAAGGACCCACAGGATTCAAGGGATAGTGGATTTGGGGTAGGGGTAGGGATGAGGAAACCTATCAAGATTCCCAACTAGATATCAGCCTTCTGAATCTGGGTGCTGGGATAACAATGAGATCATTGCTCATGAAGACGCTAATGGAAGAAGAACATAACTTCTTCAGACATGTTGAATCTGAAGGGCCAGTAGGGACAGCCAATTGGAAATAATTGGCAAGTATCTAAAATGTCAAGACTAGAGTCTGAGAGAGACTTTGGATCTGGGCTTTTAAGATTTGATAGTCTTCCTAACCCTGAATTGTACCCCACATCTTTATAATAAAAAAAGATTTGATAGTCAGAATTATAGGGAACATTAAGTGTTGAGTATAACCCAAGCTTCCATTTTACAGAAAAGAATCATGGGAAAAAACACCAAGTGACTCGCTTAGTAGGCAGGACTGAAGCCCTCAATTACCAGGTGTGGGCTCAGTAGGAAAGGAGGGTTGCTGGCCAATGAATGTCTTGAAAGAAAGCCGGAAAGAAAGGTACCGAGAACCATATTGCCCTGTACCTCCTGTACCACCCAACACCAGGTTGACTATGCTCCTTTATAACCCCCAGCCCCAAATGCCCTTGTCAGTTTTGGAGAACTTGTCGGTTGTCACCCAGACCTTTCAGTGTGTGGGATCACAACGTGGATCCCAAGAAGGCTTGTCTATCCCTGAAGGTGAGCTGGGAGCCAAAGTGGAGAGGCAGTTCTGGGCTGCCCTCCCTACAGCTCCACAACCCCCTGTCCTGACAGCCTCCACCGGTCTCCTTGAGTGGGGTTATCGGGAGGGCGAGCCTGTGACACAGGGCCACCTCCCCTGGCCATCTGCATAACCTCCTCTAGAGGGTTACAGAGTCAAGACAAAGCACTGCCAAAGTCCTGGAGAATTGAAAGGAGCTTGGAGACTCATCAGCAGGGCCCTGGGCTTGGCTGCATTCACCCCTGGCCTCCAGGGGCCCTGGGTCTGTGCCCTCCTCGACTCCTAATTTCTGGTTGGCAGGAAAACCAGTGGCACTCCCAGGTGGGTGTTTGGGTGGCTGGCTGGCTGTGCCAAGTGCCAAGCTGAGGTTGCCAGGTTCCTGGGCTGATCATTAACCTGTGGCAGGCAGACAGGGCTGCTGGCCCGGAGCAGCCTGTCACCGTTCCACTCCCCCGACCCCAGTCCCCCCAGCTAAGCCTCCATGTCTGGTTCCTCAAGCCGGCAGCCCTCCTGAAACTCCTTCCTACTTCCTAGAAGGAGTCTCCTTTTGAGGCCAGCTTTCCTAATCCTCGAGGACGCCACGCCATCCACCCTCCTGCCCCCCCCAACCCCAGGCTACTCCACAGTTAATCTTCTGTTTCCTGATCCGGAGCGGCGAAGTTTCCATTGTTCTACTTCCCCCCTCCCCCCAGGTGTCCTGGTTTGTTATCAGGCTCCTGCTCCTCCCCTCCCTCCTTTTCCCACTCACAGGCCTCTGTGGAGAGAGATGAAATGAGGCTGGGGGGCTGAGTGGGAGGGGCTCAGCAGGGCATCACAAAGGAGGGGTGAAGAACAGGCCCAGGCCGAGAGAGGGTGGCACCTCGTGGACGGAGGCTGCGGGAAGGTGCAGGGCGGTGAGGCAGGTGAGGAGCGGCAGTCTGGAGGATGTGCACAGGAGGTGTGGCGTTGGTAAACTGGGGTCAGGATTCTAGACTGCTTTTAGGGAGCTGTTCTGGAAATCTGAGGCTATGCTGGTGTGTAGAGGGAGCTGGAGTGAGGAGAGTTGGCCGGTCTCATGCTCCTCGGGTGTCTGGGTGTCTGGGCTCTACGCGGCAGTAGGGGTGGTTCTGGAATCGCAGGGAGGCTGTGCCCGTTTTGGGACGCTGGGCTGGAACTAGGAGGGCTGTGCTCTAACAGGTGGTTCTACCGGCTTAGGGTTATTGGGTTAGCCTGGGGGCTGCAGTAATACTGGGGCTTGTGCTGTATTGGGACTTTGCACGTGTGGCCTTGGCTGTACTGGGAGCTGTCCCAGAAAGAAGGAGCAGTCTTGCGTTGGGGCCTGTGCTTTCTTTGCACACAGCCACCCAGCCTGCCCTCAGACAGGTACACCAACACACATTCATCTATACACCGTCATCTCTCTAGGGGACGGCGCCGTGCCGGGCTGCTGGGGGACGACGCTGGGCTGGGGGACTCTCTCGGGGGCACTACGCTGTGCTGGGCTGCTGGGAGGCTGGAGCAGGGAGACTTGGCTGAGGCTGGGGCGTGGTGTGGTGGTGGGCCCCGTGGACAGCCTGGCCGGCCAGCAGTAACACTCGCTCTCCTTGCAGTTACCTCACCGCCGTGTCACCTTCTCGGCCACCAGCCAGGCCCAGGAGCTGCAGGACCCATCCCAGCACAGTTACTATGACAGTGGCCTGGAGGAGTCTGAGACACCATCCAGCAAGTCATCCTCGGGGCCTCGGCTCGGTCCCTTGGCCCTGCCCGAGGACCACTACGAGCGCACCACCCCTGATGGCAGCATTGGGGAGATGGAGCACCCTGAGAACGGTGAGGAGCATCAGCATGGTCAGGGACCCCCAGGAATGAGTAGAAGCCCGAGGATGGTGATGAGACTTTAGAAATCCTCCATGTACTGCCTTCCTATAAAGTGCTCAGTAGTGATCGCTGGGCTGAATGCTTTCAGGGGTATATTTGTCTAATCCTCACAAACGCTCTGATCTGAGAACTTTATTGTGCCTACTTTACAGTGGAGGAAACTGAGGCTCAGAGAGGTTCAGTCATGGACCCAAAGTCATATGTCTAGGGAGTGACAGACCTGGGAGGGAGTCAAACCCAGCTTTCTCTGACTTGGCACCATATCTGCACTGCCTCCCTGGGAATGGGACCCTGAGAAGGGTGGCCAGACAGCTCAGATCATGGTGAGGAATCCTCAAGAAGGCAGACGGTAGCCCTCTAAAGAGAGGGGAGGGACTTGAGGATGAAGAGTGGACCCTGGATGCCATGGGGAGCTCGGATAATGCTACGATGATCCCCTGGGGTGAGAAGTGAAGGGTCTGGCTGGGGAAGAGCAGACAGAGGTCTGGAGGGGAGGGCAAGGCCTGTCTGGGGGCTTGGAGGGTGGTGGCAGACGGGAGGCCTGGGCCAGAGCGGAGGCTGGCATGGGGATGGATGGCAAGGTGTGCTATCAGAGTGTGAGTGTGCAGTGTGTGCGCTGTGCACATGTGTGTGCATGTGTGAAGCCCAAGGTAGCCTGTGGCGAGAGTGAACGAGCTAGCCCTTGGGATGGAAAGACTCTACTTGAAGCAGTGCTTAGGTCTCACCCCTCCCTCGGTCCAAAGCGCCTCTCCCCCAAAAGACAGAAAGTTCCACTCCCTGCCCCCTCGGGCACAGGGCCCTTGTCTAACCTCCCTAGGTCTCAGAGTGCCTTCTGCCCCCACCCCGCCCCTCCATGCGCGATCTCATGCCCGTCTCGTCCTTTTTGTGCCCGCGCAGAGCCGGCTGGCCGGAGCAGGCCCTGAGGCGGCGTGCCAGGTATGTGGGAGCTGCTCTGGGGTCTGGGGTCTGTGGGACTCGGCCCAGCACCCAGCCCCGCCCACCCAGTGCCCATGCTCTGCTCCAAGCCGCATCGGGTCCCCCAACTCTGCCCTGAGCTGAAGAGCCCTGGCACTTCGAGGTTTAACAACAGATCTGTCCCCTCTCACCTGGCCCTGGCAGGAGACCAAGCTGGGGTGGGTGGTGCCGGGGGAGACCCTGCCCCAGGCAGTGCTCTGCAGCCATGTCCCCGAGGGGGGTCACCGCCTGGTGCTCTCCCTGAGCAAGGGCGGGACGGAGGCAGCTGTGACAGGAAGTGCTCATGGCCCGGCCGTTCCCATGGAGACCTGCTGCCCAGCAACCACGCCGGCTACTGCTGATGTCAGGCGGCCAACTCCTGTTCCCGTGGGTGTTTCTGGGCAGGGAGCCTGGGCAAGGCCAGGGGTGGCGGCTGGTGTAGGGGCCAGAGTGAGGTGGGGAGGGGCTGCATGGGTGTGCTTGTGGGTTTGAGTGTGTGCTTCTATGTGAACATCCCACATAGAAGCGCGTCCTTTCCCCGACTTTAAAGCAAGGCCTTGCTGCACTGGGGCAAGGCAGGGACTCCAGGACCACTGGGGGCATGTGAGGCTTGAGGGGGTTCAGAAGGAAGGGGTGTGCCCAATTTTGTCTGAGGAGAGAAGAGCCCAGCGTAGTAGATTTGGGTGCTTATACCTAGACCTCCCTGTGTGTGTGTGTGTGTGTGTGCGTGTGTGTGTGAGAAAGAGATAAAGGGAGAGAGGGAGGGACAGATGGAGATTGTGTTCTTAAAAGAGGACAGGGCTTTCCTCTATCCTACCTGAGGGTAGATTTGCATGTTTAAGCCTGTCTGGAGAGAGATGACAGAGTGTGCAGATGAGTGTGAGTGTGTGCACCTGTCTGAGGGCAAATTTGGTGGGTGGGTGTGAAGAGCATTGGGAGATATGTGAGACTGGAAGGAATGTGTCTAAGGATAGATTGTGTGTGTGTGTGTGTGTGTGTGTGTGCGCGCGCGCGCGCACGGCAGGCTAGCAGGTGAAAGGTAGGAGGGCGTGTGTGCCTGTGGGTTCGTTCAGTGGGCAGGACGGGGCGCGTATTCCTGTTCTGAGGCAGGTTGTGGGTGCCGGTGGGGGGTCGTGGTGCAGAGCGTGGCGAGGCTGTGGGCCTGACAAGGTTCTTCCTGCTCTGTCCTGTAGACCTTCGCCCTTTACCTGATGTCGCCATGACGGGCACGTGTACCCGGGAGTGCAGTGAGTTTGGCCACTCTGACACATGCTGGATGCCTGGCCAGTCGTCTCCCAGCCGCCGGACCAAGAGCAGCGCCCTCAAACTCTCCACCTTCGTGCCTTACCAGGACCGAGGAGGGCAGGAGCCTGCGGGCGCCGGCAGCCCCAGCCCCCCGGAAGACCGGAACACCAAAACGGCCCCCGTGCGCCTCCTGCCCTCCTACAGTGCCTTCTCCCACAGTAGCCATGATTCCTGCAAGGACTCAGCCACCTTGGAGGAAATTCCCCTGACCCAGACCTCGGACTTCCCACCCGCAGCCACACCGGCATCTGCCCAGACGGCCAAGCGCGAGATCTACCTGTGAGCCCCCTTCTGGCCGGCTGGCAGCCCCTTCCCCAGCCGCCGGCCAGCCCCCAAATGGGCCCGTTCCTGGGCTCCCACCCTTGACCCCTCCAGCGTGGACTTCCTGGCCAGGGCCCCAAGTGGGGTGGGGAGTACTGGCCTCATGATCACGCTGCCCTTCTCCCAGGCAGGGTCCAGGTCCTCTTCCCTCATTTCCATCCCCCAGGAGCCCTCCCTTCCCTTTCTTGGGGCTCCCCCCAACCGATGCCCAAGAGGGCTCCTCTACAATGACTGGGCTCTCTTCCCTAGACCTCCAGGGAGCACCCCTCGATTTGGGCAGATGGTGGAGTCAAGGGTGGGCAGTACGCTTTCAACTCACTGTTTCCCGCATGGCTGGCCGGGGGGCGGCTGGCATGCCCGATGTTAGCCCTGAAGCAGGGCTGAGCAGGGGAGCCCCCTCCCTGGGAACTCCCAGAGGAAACTTGACCGCCAGGGACTCCCTGAAGGGCTTTAGTTACCAAAGGTGGGATGGGGATGGGAGTGGAGCAGAGGCCTGGTCTTCCCTTCCTGCTCCTGGGCTGGCCCACCTGCCTGCCACATGCCCACACCCAGTCCCATCCGCCCCCCCCCGTCCCCTGCTGGTCATGCAGTGTCTGTATATAAGGACCTTGGAATGACGTCCCCATTTCTGCCTGATTTGCAACTTTTCTCGTTGATGTTGTGTTGTCTTGGGGGACCCCTGGAGGGGGGACCTGCCCTGTGCCCCCTCCTCCCTGCCGCAGTGCTCCCCCACCCCAGGCCTCTATTGTTCCATGTTGTAAATACCCCTGGGGCCGTGGTGGGACGGGGGTGCAGGCCAGGGAAACAATGGGTGGGGGGGGCGGGGTCACATTCGCCTATCAGCAGAGCTGGGCTTTTATTTAATTTTTTTTAAAAATACAAATCTCTATTTTTTTGGAACTGTTGCGCTGTGCCCTGGGGGGGATCCCCGCTCAGGCTGGCCTCCCACGTCCAGATGAGCATCACAGAGGGGCCCTGAGGCTGTGGGGGGCAGCTGGACAGGGGTGGGATGACTGTGCCTCTGGCCTGGTTGGGTGAGTTGGGAGCAGGAAGGTTTGTTCAGGGGGTGGCTGGTGGCTGCCCCCGACGTG